TGAGGGAAAGTGGCAACACAGGGTGTGAAAAGGGCTATTGAGTCCCGCACCTGCGCTGCTATTCTCCCCTCTGTTTACACACTGTCAGCCACAATTAATACCTCATGGGGCCCTCACCCAGCCCGGGCCCTTATGGGTGCCTAATTGAGCATAGCACTCTCCTGATTGAATTAACAGCTCTGTCTCTGGGACCTTTTCCCCTTCCACACCCGCATGGGACCCCTGTACCGCCCCACAGAGGACTGTTAGTGGCTGCAGAAAGCGAAGGGTCAGAAGGGGGAGTTGTTGAAACTGTCCACAGAACGTGTCTCTTTCTGTTGGCAAAGCGAGGCTGGAAATGTGAACTGGGGGCAACGAAAGGTCTCCGTCTTCACAGGACCGGAGAGTTCCTGCAGGGCAGAGCGGGCGCTGAGAACAAGCTCCCCAAGAGCTTCCTGCAGAACCAAATACAATTGCTCATGTGGTTCAGTAGTATTCACCTCTTGTATGAATGCTCTAAGTAAGAGTCCTGCATTTATAATACTTGCAGGAAGAAGGTATTCAGATCCTTTATGTACACTCTGAAAATACTTCTGCTTTTGGGGTGTTCCCTTTCCTGTAATGTGTTCTATAGGTTTCTGTGCATGTACATGGTCTGCAAAGGTTTAAATCCCTGTGTCACCTCTCCCCCCCCCCCCCCCCCCCCCCCCCTGCCTGAAACGCCTCCATTGGAATCCTGTGTTTAATTCCGGAACATAGTGACATCACTATGGAACACTCACGCTCCTATTGGCTAGCGCTCCAACACATTGTACGTGATAGGTTAAGGGGCGGGACATCTCTAAGCAGGTTGACCAATCACAACAGAGCCGGCCAGCTAACCAATCAGAGCAGACTGGGCTCTGGTTTCAGACAGAGGGTGAAAAGAGGTGCTGCAGCACAGACAGTATGAGAAAAATAAAGAGCTTTTTGAACATTAAAGCATGGAGACATGTCCCAGTAGAGACACTACATACTGATATACACCTGAACATCAGCAGGAGAGGACTCTTTAAAGTAGAGACACTACATACTGATATACACCTGAACATCAGCAGGAGAGGACTCTTTAAAGTAGAGACACTACATACTGATATACACCTGAACATCAGCAGGAGAGGACTCTTTAAAGTAGAGACACTACATACTGATATACACCTGAACATCAGCAGGAGAGGACTCTTTAAAGTAGAGACACTACATACTGATATACACCTGAACATCAGCAGGAGAGGACTCTTTAAAGTAGAGACACTACATACTGATATACACCTGAACATCAGCAGGAGAGGACTCTTTAAAGTAGAGACACTACATACTGATATACACCTGAACATCAGCAGGAGAGGACTCTTTAAAGTAGATACACTACATACTGATATACACCTGAACATCAGCAGGAGAGGACTCTTTAAAGTAGAGACACTACATACTGATATACACCTGAACATCAGCAGGAGAGGACTCTTTAAAGTAGAGACACTACATACTGATATACACCTGAACATCAGCAGGAGAGGACTCTTTAAAGTAGAGACACTACATACTGATATACACCTGAACATCAGCAGGAGAGGACTCTTTAAAGTAGAGACACTACATACTGATATTACCTGAACATCAGCAGGAGAGGACTCTTTAAAGTAGAGACACTACATACTGATATACACCTGAACATCAGCAGGAGAGAACTCTTTAAAGTAGAGACACTACATACTGATATACACCTGAACATCAGCAGGAGAGGACTCTTTAAAGTAGAGACACTACATACTGATATACACCTGAACATCAGCAGGAGAGGACTCTTTAAAGTAGAGACACTACATACTGATATACACCTGAACATCAGCAGGAGAGAACTCTTTAAAGTAGAGACACTACATACTGATATACACCTGAACATCAGCAGGAGAGGACTCTTTAAAGTAGAGACACTACATACTGATATACACCTGAACATCAGCAGGAGAGGACTCTTTAAAGTAGAGACACTACATACTGATATACACCTGAATGTTTAAGTACGTTTTGAATGCAGGAGTTTTAGAGTATTTAGTTTAGTAAAGAATCACAGTATTACTTCCAGCACTGCTTTGGAGCAATGCTTGTAAAAGTTGGATATATAGATATATAATAATAGATGACATGAACATGTTTTATCATCCCACTCGGTTCACTGAACAGCATTATCCACCTTGTAAAAATGTTCCGCTCTGAGCGAACTCCCCTTCAGTGTCCTCTTGGCACGGTCCACTACAATAGTAGTAAAGTATAATAATGTGGAAAATCAGTAGCCCTCCTGAGAGGTGGACATGCAGGATGAATATCCGTTTTATGTCCAGGTCTGTAAAACAGTTTGCCATGTCTTTATCCACACTTGTCAAAGTCCAGCACACACGTAGAGCTGAGAATCAGATCTCCGTCCTGAAGGGAAATCAAACGGCTGAACTCATCTCAGCCGAGGCTGCTGAGTCATGAAACCAGAAGTGATTTTGTCCGAGTTCCCAGAGTTCTGTCTGTGATCTCTTGGCTGGCTTTGTTGCCTCTGTGTAAAAAAAATAGGCTTCCTGCAGAGGAGGGAACGGCACAACGCAGATTCTGCCTTCACTTTGTTTTGAAGTTAATTTGCATCATTTGAAATACACAAACATAAGAACGATAATAAAGTACAGAGCAAGAAAAGTACTACCCTACTGTGCCTTTTTGAAACCTCCAGATTGATAGTTGAACAATTTCACAATGTTATAGAGAACACAATATAAAGAAAAGAATGTCTTCATTCTATCAGACTATTGGGGGGGGGGGGATAACTTCAAAACATAAGAAAGAAACGTACAAAACAGAAGTTATATGATCTTTGGTCAGGTTAGAAAAGCCCTTCAATAATTGACCTTTGTAATTGAGAAATGTAGGAGGCTATAAAACGTAGGAGAGGCATTTTGCTGAACCATGTTACAGCTTCTTAAAGTTGCACTGGAGTTGGAAATACTACACAGGGTCACCACTGCAGGAACAGAAAGATAGCAGCAGAGATATGTCCTGTGTGACGTACATTACACAGAGGGGGATCACAGCCTGTGACAGTGGCTCTGTCCATTGTCTGACTTCAGGCCAGTCATTCAGAAATCACAGATTATTATTACTTTGTTAACCTAGACGGCACTATTTTAAAGTTCTCTGTGCAGGCCTCAGCGTGGCAGTGGTCTCCATGACAGCAGAGAGCGGCTCACCTCTCGATGAACCCCCAGTCCAGCCCTGGTGCTGGGGAGCATGCCCTACCGAAAACAAAAACAGAGATGGTCAGGAGGACATACCCCCGCAGCAGTGACCTGTGCAGCGTGCCCCCGCTTAACAAGCCAGCAGGCGGCCTGCGGTCACTCGCTCCTCACAAGGGTCCCGGGCGGGGCCAATTAAACCCGCACTGTTCCCCACACCGGGTCAGGAGTTTAGTGGGTCACCAGAATCTCTGGGACTCTCACTCTGAGTTATCTAATCCTGGGTAAACCGGACTGTCTGGATAAAGACGCTTTCTGTGAATACGTGAAGAAGTGAGGAAAGAAACAAGGGTGGGAAGTAACTAAGTACATTTACTCAAGTACTGTACTTAAGTACAACTTTGAGGTATTGTACTAAAGTTCAGTTTTTCAATTGTTTGCTACTTTGTACTTATTTTTCACTACAATTCAGAGGTAAATGGTGTACTTATACTCCACTACATGTATTTAATAGTTACTTTACAGATCTGGATGAATGATGTGAAATATAATCAAGTGTTAAATCAGACTTTAGTTCCACCTGGAGTAAATTCACAAGCTACCCTGCAGTATACAAAGTCATTCAAACTAGCTGCACCTTTACCAGCTTTGAGAACACTTTCATGATCAATCATTATAAAACATATCATATATATTATTCTGAAATGGACCAATCTGCACAATCACTACTTTTACTGTCGCTACTTTCACTATATTTTGATGATAATACTTTCCTACTTTTACTTGAGGAACATTTTGAATGCAGGACTTTTACTGTAACAGAGTATTCCTACACTCTGGTACTTCTACTTTTTCCTTAAGTAAAAGCAACACAGACAATCATACAATCAATAGGCTGCTTTTTATCATCAGATATTCATCAGATAAAGTGTTGCTAATAAGATTGTTGGTTGTATTCAAGTGTCGTAGTAATTTGTGCAATGAGACAGCTTGTACTGGAGGATCCTGAAAATGAAGCAGCTTCAGATAATTCAGGCATGAATAATTTTTTTAATTAAACTTGAAGAAAAAAAACGAAGTCCCTATAAAATATCTGCATATGTGCTATTAAGCTGTTGATTTGTAACCAAACGCACCTTATTGACAACTGTTTGGTTGAAATTGATGTGATGTTTTACATTTTTTGTAATGTTTGTGTGTGAAACTCAACACAAAACTCCACATTACATACATCACGTTTAGAGACAGATATAACAGAAGGGTGTCTATATTGTGTGTGTGATGCTGATTGGCTGCTGGCCCTCCTTTGTCTGCAGGATACCAAACGCATATATCTCTGGTGTAACCGCGCCCTCTAGTGGCCGAGGGTAGTAATTACAGTGTTTGTAATTCCACAAATAACCAGGATGACAGGATGGCAGCTGTGAATTCTGATGGAGCAGCCTGCACACATCAAACCTCCATTTATACAAAGATATGGTCACATTTCGTACACTTTATTTCACATTTGTTATGCTAATTGTTGTATTCCCTAGTAAACCAATCTCAAATAACGAAACGTAATACTGGTTTAATTCAATATTATAACATTTGATCTCTCAGGTAGAATAACAGGCCTTTAAAAACAACTTTCCCCCTAACATAATCAACACCTTTAATTATTACATCACATGTCAAACGCATGTAATGTGACTGTGTGAGCGCTTGCTTTATTGCACCGTGCACACCGTGTTTCTTTAGCATATGTGGCTCAAGCAGGCGGAGCTAAGCAGGCTGAGATGGAGATGCTGCTGAAGCAGGTGGATGCTCGGTGCAGCTGAGGGACGATCGGAGGAACCTGGGAATCAGATTTGACATTTTTCGACGTGGGAAATACATTTCATTCAACCCGTGCACCTTTTTTACTTTTCTATTCTCGCAGATGCTCGCCCCGCAGTGAGAGGCCGTCTGTCTGTCTGCAGGTCGCGGGGATGTGAAGCTCCATCGGCCGCAGCCTCTCCCCCTGAAACAGCCTGATATTATGCGGGGAACCAGGCGCTCTGCACGGACACAAGGGGAACAAAGCACCGCTTTAAAACACCTTTTACGAACTGGCAGGTCAGTGGGTGTCTGTGTGGTGCGACACTGCATGAAAAACAACCAAAGCACGGGATGAAACTGCAGTAAATGTGGTAAAAACTACCTTTGTAATACAGCAGATAACAGGGGCTAAACATCGTTAATATAATCTGCATTTAGTTTCGTTTCTATCGTTTGAAAGTGAGGATATTTCCTGCTGCTGATACAGTAAAGTGTGAAGGCCTTGGTGTGAGCAGCTTGTTTACCTCACATAATGTCCCGTTTTACATCCAGCTTTTACTACCAACTTGTTAATAATTTATACATTGCAGGACCTGGTTTAAATCTAAATGTATTTTTAGATTGATTGTGATGTAGAGTGAAACATATTGCTATGAGTAATCAAATTCTCTCAGCCCAGTAACTCTGCCAAAAATAGCCTCTCCTCTATTAAAGGACTCTGGTGTGTTTTTGCGTGTGTGTTGTGTCAGATCCCTGAAGGGGAAATGTCTCATCTGGTGTAAAAATCAGTGCATGAATATGTGCTCATGCATGCATGCATCTGTGACCCTCCCCCACTGACTGCATCTCTTAAGCTCTGGACTGAGTAATCCTCTAATAGAAAACTCTTTTTATCCATGTCCATGTACATATCATACCCCCCCCCCCTCACTTTTCCTGCAGTATTCGCCAACTATGGTTGACCCCTCGGAGGCTGAGGATCAGTGTAAAGGTCCGCAGCTCAGCGCTCCAGCTGAAGACCCCCGGCTGCCCGACCAGGCTGATGGCACCACAGAGGAGGACGGGGACGCTGGGTTCGAGACGCCGCCGTCCGGCAGCTCCGTGGCGAGCCCCTGCCATGTGGCTTCCCCCCCGACTTCTGAGACTCTGCCCCCTCCTCCTGAGACTCAGCCCCCTCCTCCTGAGCAAACACAGACTCATACTGACAGACCTCCTTCACCAAAACTCCACCTGGACCTGTACAACTTTGAGTCCCCCGTGGCGGAGGGCAGTCGCTACGTGCTGACGAGCCCTCACTCCCTGGAGGCCTGTGCTCGATGTGGGGTGAAACCGCTGGAGCTGCTGCACCGCCCGCTGGCCGACTTCGCCCGCGAGGCTCCGGGTCGATCCATGAGAGTCGCGACGGGTCTGTTTGAAGTCTTCGAGAAGGAGAGACACGGCAAACTGAGGCAGTGCCGGGAGGAGCGGGAGAGGATCATCAGGGAGGAGAAACGCCGGATCCTGCAGGCGGCCGCGAACACCGGCAGCAGGGAGTCCGCCTCGCCTCAGGACCAGCAGCACAAAACCTCCTCTGGATCCCAGCAGACTCCCAAATCTGGGCCGGTGACCGCCAGCTCAGATTCTGGAGCTTCTTCTAGAGCCACCCCTCCGTGTCCAGCATCTAAACCTGCTCTTTTAAGTAGAACCTCGACCGGTAACTCCCCGAAATCTCAGTCCTCGAAAACTAGTTCCCTGCTGTCATCGAAATCTGAAGTGAAAACCAACCGCTCGCTCTCCGGACCTCCACCCATAATCAGGAAGTCTTCAGGTGGTAAATCTTCGAACACCTTCCCCAGATCCACACCCAAACCCCCGTCCTTCCCCAGAGCCAAGTCCAGCCTCACCTCCTCGACGAAGCCTCTGAACGGCGTCTCAGGACCGACGGTCTCTCAGCACAACGGACATGTTGCCCTCGAGTCCAAGGTGCAATCAAAAAGCCATTCGCTGGAGTCCCTGCAGCGCCGCATGGATCCCTCCTCCACCTCCAACACCACCACCACCTGCACCTCCTCAGAGTCCGGCGCCTCCTCCTCTTACAGCTGGGAAGGCGTCCGGGATCACTGGGCGAAGGCCTCCAGTCCTCGCGCTCGCACCATGGCCACCTTCAACTCCCTGATGGGCCGCAGCCTCAGCCTGGGTGACCTCAGCCACTCCCTGCAGACCACGCAGAAGGTGGAGCGCATCGTGAATGAGGTGAAGCGCCGCGGCCTGAAGGCGGTGTCGGAGCGGGACCGAAAGATCGCGGCGCTGATGCTCGCCAGATACCAAGAGGAGGACATCATGAGCCAGACGCGCTACGTGGCTCACCTGCAGTGGGACAGCGAGCGGAGGATGGACGAGCTGCGGAGAGAGCAGGAGGATCGGGAGAAGCAGCGGGCGGTGCTGCAGTGCCAGAGGGCTTGGCAGTCGCAGGTCTCCACCCGGCAGAGGAGGCTCAGCCAGCAGGAGAGACTGTCCACCGCCGCCAAGATGCGCCAGGCGGAGGAGAGCGAGGAGCGCTGGAGGGAGCTGGCGGAGCAGCAGGAGCGCAGCCGGCTGCTGAGGCTGCAGCAGGCGGCTCGTGAGGAGAAGCACAAGAAGTCCCTGCAGGAGCAGAACCTGAAGGCAAGGGATGAGGACCGGGCCGCCATGCTGGAGCAGGAGAGGCTGCTGCTGAAGGAGAAGCTCACCATGGCCGAGCTCAAGAGGCAGGAGAAGGAGCACCAGAGCCAGGAGGACCGGCGGGGGCTGAACAAGGCGGAGAAGAGACGCCACGCCGCCCTGATCCAGGAGATCGCCCGCAGAGAGCAGGAGGAGAGGGAGGAGGCCAGGCGGGCGGCCGAGGGGAAGCTCAGCCGCTCCCTGGAGAACTACGAACACATCGTGGAGCGCAGAGGCCAGGAGCTGAAGGAGAAGGCCAAGCGCGAGGAGAAGCAGATCCTGAAGGCTCGCAAGGCGGCGGAGAAACGGGAGAAACAGCAGCAGCAGCTCCTGGAGGCCCGGGTGAAGGAGGCGGAGAAACGAGCGCAGCAGGCGGCGCTGGTGGCTGAAGTTCGGTCGAAAGAGAAGGCTCAGCGCGCCGTTCAGAGCCGGCAGGAGAAGGAGAAGCTGCAGAAAGTCAACAGGCAGCGGGTGGAGGAGGAGGAGAAGCAGAAGAGGACGGAGCTGCTGCAGTCCATCGAGAGGAAGCTGGAGAAGAGCGAGCAGATCTTCAAGGAGAAGAGGGCGGTGCTGGAGAGCGCTCGCTCCGTGGCCCAGGCCTCCTTCCACGTCCGGGACAAAGTGAGGGAGGAGACCAACATGAGGACCTTTGATAAGATGGCTCTGGAGGCTCAGCTCAAAGCCAGCCTGAACGACAGTAAACTCTGAGGTCACTTCCTGTCGCCTCGTCATCAAACAGCTTTACCTTTTCTCACAACAGTGTTATTTATTTCCTATCATCCCCCATCAGCTGGTTTTATTATTGTTTCTGAGCGAACCAAATCATTTTGTATCGTGGATGTAATGAGACTTTATTCTAAGGGAACAGTAAAGCCTGTATGTGACGTACATGGACTTCATATCAGAGGAAAAGTGGGTAGAGGGCTGCAGCAAACCCCCCCCCCCCCTCTCTCTCTCTCCTTCTTCTACTTGCCTTCTGTTTATGTTCAGCTACCGGACTGGAAGCTGTGCAGGAATGAAAAGAGTCATTGTTTACCAGGAAGCACAACTCCATGACAACTGCAGAGGCTTTTAAGGAAGCGCTCCTCTGAGAGGGAATAATCACAAATGGGTTTCAGACCCCCGAAGCTAGTGCAGGATCCTTTCTGTGACACAGCTATAAAAAGCATGGATACTCTCGTCTGTACGGAGCTGCTGACGGGAGGGCCGTGTGCACAACTGATGGAGCCCCAGAGGACCAGGACCCCCCCCCCCCCCCCCCCCCCCCCCCCCCCTCGTACTCCCTTCAAACACCTCCCAGTAAACAGTGAGGAACACCTTGACATCCGCCTGGTGACGAGACATGGTCAACAGGTACGAGTTGTTATTGCTTCCACACATTATGCCTTCTGTGTTGCCCCTCAGCTCAAACACAACAACCCCTGACCTCACTGACCCGTACTGACAGAGTCCAAAATAAAAAAGGCTCCACTCATGAGCCGACATGCGAGCCAGCAGCTGGCTTTAAAGGCCCATGGCTGATCCTACAATCTGTCAGATTAAAAGAAAAGGCAGATGCACATGAGGGGAGGGGTGGGTTGGCTCTCTTATGAGGCGTTGCCATAGCAATCTGAATCGGGATGGAGCAGTATGTCGAAAAACTCAAAAGGTCATATTAAAGTTCAACAAAAAAATGTAAAAGGCCATAGTATAGTGTGTGGAATGTGTTGTAAAGAAAGTCATTGAATAAACCTGAATAATAGGTCAAAAAAAGGTATGGGATTATGAAGCGGGGAAGGGTGAATGACGGAGCACCTCTCTGCCGGATCGTTCTGGTGTTTCTTTGCTCGGCGCTATTGGAAAAACACGCCATCACTTTGTACAAACATCTGTGTGAGGGGGGGTGGGGTGAGGGGGGGACACTGCAGCATTCCTGCTCCTCACTCAGACACACGGAAAGTGTTTTAAAACTGGAAATAAAGCGACATAAACTCAAATCTTTTCAATGAAACTCTATTTTTATAAACTAGATATATCGGAACATGGAGTTTTAATTCCTGTTCAAGTTTTGACCCGTTTATTGCTGCTTTCTGAAGTTTTTTTCAAAAGGTCATTTATTATTTTTATAGTAAACTTGAATGGCACTCAGAGAGAGGATATCTGCCGAGGCCGAATGGTGCGTTCATGGCCTCCTCAGATTGACCCGTTTAGTCATTTTTCCAATTTAGGGTTTGTTAATGAGCTTTAAGTTGTCATTTGGAAACATAGTAGACACTTGAAAGATGATGTGTAATACTGTATTGCTCAGATTGTTTAAACAACACGTAGATATCTTTTACAGAATTACTGTTCGACTTGAAGTGGCGTTAATGTGAATTATTCAGATTATTCCCTGAGCACGTTAATGCAGCACTAATGCCCTATCCCACAATGTTATCTAAAGTTAAATATGTGTATCCATCCGCTATATTTGGATCCATTTCAAATTAAAAGGGTTCTTAGATGGCCAATGATACAGCCTTTAAACAAGTTTAGTGAAAATAGGGCCAGTAGTTTTCCTGTTATCCTGCTGACAGACTAACAGGTTTGAAAATAAACTCCATGCTGAAGATGGTAAAAAATCATAAGGAGATAAGTAAATGTTAATCTTTATATGAATTTTGTTAGAAAAGGTTAGTAAATCGTACCTTAAACATTAAAAAAGGACCGCTGTCTCTTCCACACAGTGATGGATATGGCTTTTTAATGAAACCCTGGTATTGGATCGGTTTTCCAGACGATATCCAAAAGCCCAGGTTTCAATATCAGAACTGATTCTATCTGATTGGTTCTGATTCAAATAAATATATAATATACAAATCTGTGGCCAGGAAGCAGACCGCGTTTCTCAGACAGTCTGAAACCTGCCAACGTCACGGATATAAAAACCAGACGAGGTTAAAATGCAGCTTTAGAGCAGAAACACGCTGACCCAGCAGATAATCTGAGTGATGTAAGAAGGGATGAGTCGGCACATTGTCGGCGCTTATGATGGCGACAAAAAGGACGAGGTTGCTAATCTAGAGAAGGTTGTATTTAAATGCAGTAATATAGTAACAGCTCCAGTGGATATCTCTAGTCTAATAATTACACGTGTACAGTTGAATTATAATTCAAAAGAACACATTAGTAGTGAAGCTGCAGCGAGTAGTTGACTAATTGATAAGTTAATTGACAGAAAAGTCATCCCCAACTATTAAAATGTTAAAACTAATAATAACTGGGACTATTTTAAATACTGTACCTTTTTTTGACCTACTTTCTATTCAAGTTTATTTTCATGTTTTTCAACATAATCTATGCCAGTGGTTCTCAACTGGTCCGGCCTCGGGACCCACTTTTTCCGTTGTCAATAAATCGCAACCCGAAATTTTGAACCACTCAAATCTATTCAACAACAAATCGTGCTGTAATATATATATATACGCTTTTCAGCATATAATATTAAAGTGAAGTACAGTGCAGAAATCCCTTATATCCCTTCACAGAACTAAAGTATGCTTTTAAAAAAGGTTTAATGAGATGATGGAATCAAAGCTGAACTGCTCATGCTGAAAACCCAACCCCAGCAGGGGGTCTGGGGGGATTCTCCCCCAGGAGATTTTTAGAAATACTAACATATAAACTACGCATTCTGGTACACTCTGAGAAGAAAATAAATACATCTATTACTACCCGACATATTAATATTTGATGCCATTGTTTGTTTTTCACTTAGTTCTGACAGCTTGCTGCTCCTCACAGAGAGAAGAGCAAAGAGGAGATAGTTTGTGTGAATTACTTTAAATTGTGGGTAAGGGTAGATAGCCCCCATAGTTCTGTGACCTGTCAATCATCAAAGCGGGGGTCATATTTCATTATGTGTTCATTTGTATCTGAAGTTGTACCCATGGATGTATAAAGAATAGTTCTACTGCAAAGTTATTCTCCGTGGGGACTTCCGGCAACAATCTTGATTCTGATTGGCCAGAAGACTCGAAAAAACATCAGCAAAGATGTTTTATTGAGAAGATGAGTTTTCAAAAACCGTTTATGGTCTCCGGTACTTCCAGTCCAACGCCGACTGCATGCACAGCGTTAGAAAATCGGGCCTTCAAAATAAAAGTTTGACTTTTTTCCCAAAAAACAAAAACAATTTCAATTTATTTTTTCTTCACTCACACATCTGCGACCCACTCGAAACGGGTCCGCGACCCACCAGTTGAGAACCACTGATCTATGACTTCTTTTAAACATATTCAAAACACTATACTATGGCCTTTTTCATTTTTTTGAAACTATGACTGTTTTTTTTTGTGAAACTATACGATGACTTTTTTTGTTTTTCGAGATACAACGCTATTACTTTTTTTTCAGGGATGCTATAATGTGACTTTCCTTCAGGTTTTTCGACATGCTATACTCTATATTCTAACTGTACCCTACTTTATATTTGATTTCTTGCAGGTCCTGCTGATAAACGAGAGCTGGTGACGCTATCTACAATCCTCATTTTCTTCCAACACTGAAATTGATCAGAACAGAAAACGCAACATCCATATCAAGAGTGCGTGTTCATTTTAAAACCAGAAACAGTGCCATGTGTCGTGCTGCTGAGAACAGAAACCCACAGCCTTTTACCTGCAGAAACGACATGTACCAGGTTCAAACACAGCTTTATTAGCATCAAGGCATGTCGATCAGTCCTTATCATGTTCCCTCTTACCTTCCTCTATCAATTCTGGTGTTAACTTATCATTTTTACATTGTCATCATTAAATGCTTGCGTCAGTGAAAGACATCGAGTTGCTTCGTCGAGGACACGTTTTTTAAGATGTAGCAATAATGAAAGGTGGAAATCCCAACATGTGTGAGTTCATTGTTATCATAAAGCTTCTGTTAAATTAAAGGAGACAACCTGTGCAAACAAAACCAGAATAATAAAAACAAACATTTTACAAGACGGATTTGCATTGTCTGTGCTATCTGCTACATATAAAGGTCCCACATGTTAACGTTGATTAGAATCATAATGTTATAGCTTATTATACATGTGTTTTCACTTCTAATAAATACTCTTTGGCTAAATGAAAGAAACACTTTAGACAGCCTCCATCAAACAGATGTCTGTGTACCTCCCTCTACAGCGTGTAAATGATGGGCTTGTGATCAGGTCTCTACACATGCTGGATGGAGGTGAAGCTAAGGTTTCTCTCTCAGTCCTCTGGTTTGTTGGAGGCGTCCTGGCGGGCGATGATCTTGTAGACGCTCTCTCTGAAGCTGCTGTCAGAGGTCAGGCGACGGGCCGTCTCACGCAGATCCTCCATGCTGTCGTCAGAGCTCGCTACTGCGAAGGATTTGGAGTGTTTCACTGAGAAGAGAGAAGAGAGAAGAGAGAGGGGTCAGAGTGTCAGAGGTGGGAGGAGTACTCAGATCTTGTACTAAAGTAAAAGTAGAAGTACTCAGATTGTGTACTTGAGTAAAAGTACTCAGATCTTGTACTTGAGTAAA